GGCACAGGGAGGGGCACTGGGGGCACTGGGAGGCTCTGGGGGCACTGAGAGACACTAGAAATGGGACTGGGAGCACTGGGAGTGGGACTGGGAGGGGCACTGCGAGGGGCACTGGGAGCACTGGGAGGGGAACTGGGGGCACTGGGAATGGGAACGGGAGTGGGCCTAGGAGCACCTGGAGGCACAGGGAGGGGCACTGGGAGCACTGGGAGGCACTGGGAATGGGACTAGGACTCTTGGGAGGGGAACTGGGGGCAGTGGGAGGGGAACTGGGAGCACTGGGAGGGACATTGGGAATGCGACTCCATGACCCTGTCCCACCATGACCATGTCCCACCATGGCCACGTCCCACCATGTCCCCAGCCATGCCCTCTAATGTCCCCATCCCTCCATGACCATGTCCCACCATGACCATGTCCCACCATGACCACGTCCCCCCATTCCCCTTCCCCATCCCTCCATGGCCACGTCCCACCATGTCCCCAGCCATGCCATCCAACGTCCCCATCCCTCACATCACCATCTCGACATGACCATGTCCCACCATGACTGTGTCCCTCCACGACCATGTCCCACCATGACCATGTCCCACCATGACCGTGTCCCTCCACGACCGTGTCCCCCATGTCCCCAACCATGCCCTCTAACTTCTGTGTCCCTCCACGACCATGTCCCACCATGACCATGTCCCACCATGACTGTGTCCCTCCACGACCGTGTCCCCCATGTCCCCAGCCATGCCCTCTAATGTCCCCATCCCTTCATGACCATGTCCACCATGACCGTGTCCCTCCATGACCATGTCCCACCATGACCGAGTCCCTCCATGACCGAGTCCCTCCATGACCATGTCCCCCATGTCCCCAGCCATGCCCTCTAACTTCCCCATCCCTCCATGGCCACGTCCCACCATGTCCCCAGCCATGCCATCCAACGTCCCCATCCCTCACATCACCATCTCGACATGACCATGTCCCACCATGACCGTGTCCCTCCACGACCGTGTCCCCCATGTCCCCAACCATGCCCTCTAACTTCCCAATCCCTCCATGACCACGTCCCACCATGACCATGTCCCACCACGACCATGTCCCACCATGACCATGTCCCACCACGACCGTGTCCCTCATATCCCCACCGTGGTGCCACCTCCCTGACGTGTCCCCTGTCCCCCAGACACATCCAGGTGCGGGCAGGGGAGCACAGCCTGGCAGCGATGACGGGGCAGGAGCAGTACGCCACGGCCGTGGACATCGTGGTCCACCCCGGCTTTGACTCCACCGAGGGGGCCCATGACCTCATGCTGCTGCGCGTGGAACCCCCCTTCACCTTCACCCCCTACGTCCAGCCCTTGGCCCTGCCCAGAAGCCCCCCGGCCACCGGCACCAACTGCACCGTCATGGGATGGGGGACCACCACCAGTCCCCAGGGTATGGGGGGACCCAGGTGTTGGGTTGGGTGGTGGCATCTCTGCAGAGAAGGGACCCAGGTGCCCATGTGATGGACACCTCAACCGGCGTTGGGTTGGGT